GGAATGCCTTCTTCATCACAAAATAATCTGTCTTTTTGTCCACTCAACTTGTAATCATGTCTTGCCGTGATTATATTGTAAAACAAAAACTTACATATTAATTTAGTATTTGCTTAAAAATATATTATTGAAATCTTATTATCCGCAATAGTAGTTGTTGAATTTTATGGAGTTTTTTTATGTGACAAAGAAAAATATGATAGTGTTTAACTAGCCATTCTACATCAACCAACTGAAGTACTATTGAATTTGATGAATAATGACATGAGTTCTTGATAGTAGATGTGCTCATATATCATTGAACACTTCAGGCAATAAAACAAATCGGTTTGCTTTCACATTTAAAGGTCGAAATAAAAAGGCCCAAGTTAACCCAATTAGATGTGTTATAATCGTAGATATTTTTTCTTATATTTAAAGATGACAGACAAAATCAATGATGTTGTGCAGGTAAAAGGAAAGATTATAATGTATGAAGCTTATAGGAGGCAAACAAGTTGCATGATGAGGTAATATACATATAATTTTATTTTATTTTTTTGTCTATTTCTTTTCATCCCATCATTCATTACATTTCAATTTTTTTCTCTATTACTCTCTCTTGATTATAAAAGTATTGTACAATTTATTGTACAAATGTCTTTTTCTAAGAAAAATAACTAATGGACAATTTTGCACCAAATTTGATTATTACACAAAAAATCACACATGATTTCCAAGAAAAAAAAGGTCAACCAATAGGCAAGGTTAGTAATTAAAAACGTGATTTATTCACGAGTACAGGATTTTTTTTTTATTATTATAGATATCTCTCAACTCACTTGATCAAAGATTCATCCCACTTGCTATATTGTAATTGTTAGATGCCCAAAGATTTTTCACACACATAAGAATCAAATATCAAAATTCTTTGTTGAATACGTCACCCCTCCAATATATGAACACAAGGCGTAAGAACAGGTGATTTGTTTACAAGTTACAAGAGTTTAAGAACAATAAATAATTGTAAATATTTTTTTTTTATTCTACAAAAATAAATATAATTTTATTTGATTTTAATAATTAAAAATTTGTTACTCTTAAATATTTAACATTATTTTTAGTTTTTTTTTTTTTTTTTTCACTAACACTAGTTAATTTAGTGTTAACGTGACAAAAAAATTTATTAAGATGATAAAAATATTTTAAACTAAGATAATTAGATTATCTTTGTATATTTAATTCAGTAATATAATTAATATTTTATACTAATGGTGTTAAAATATTGTGTCTATATATTTCATTTAAAAATTTAAGATAAAGTAAAAAATTTGAAATTAAATAATAAAATAAATCGTTAACAATTTGATAATTTGAGTAATTACGAGTAGTTAACTTATTTTAGTGGTAAGAATAAAAAATATTTAATATTATTTAAAAATTTAAAAGGTAAAATTGTTTAAAAAATATAAAAATGAAAAATGATTATAAATCAATATCCACTTTATATATTTATATAAAAATATAGGTATAGATAAATAACTTAATTACAAATATAATCTTTTATTTCAAATCAATTAACCAAAATACAAAATGTAACTGATTTTTCATGGACCGAAAAAGAAAAAAATACCCAAAATCTATTATTTGAAAAAAATTATAGATTGGATAATTGAACTTGAATTTGATAATTTAGAAAATGTTCATGTTAATATCGAAATTTCAGAAAATCTTTTGATTTTGCAGAAGAAAAAAATATTTTTGATATAACTAATTTTACTTATTCTGATTTGTTGAATAAATTGAAAGTTTTAACTATTTTTTTAGGAAAGATCAAATCATACTCCGTAAAACTATGGAGAAAAATAATTAATTTGTTCTTCTTTTTATTTTCTATCTAGTATAGTCGAGGTACTTCATATCTCTATTAAAAATAAAATAAAATAAAAATTAAGTAATAAATATAAGTTAATTTAATATTATAATTAATTTATTAATTTTAAGGTCTTAATTTTGAAAAAAATATTATTTTTTAATTTTTAAAATGAAAGGGTATAATGATCAACAAAATGTGATGACCATGATAATTATTAAAAGAAATATCCCCTGTATATATTAATATAGATGAAGACCGCGAAACAAGTCCACGTGAAGGAGAAAAGTGATGTAGATCTTTCTCCTTCCAATTCTTGGTCCAAAAATGAAAAGATAATATTCTTAGGGGCTATAGCCACCCAATAAAATAGAGACACATAATATAAACCTCAATAAAGAAATAGTTGAAAGCTGGAGCATCTTTCAAATAACTACATTTGAGCTTAGATTAGAGTATTGGTCCTTCTCGATTCCAAGATAAAGCTTAATGAACAAGGTCCGAATCTGCTGCAAAAGAAAACTTCTTTGGTCTAACCTCAATTAAGTTCAATGCAAAATAATACAATTTTGCTTTGATTTTGCCTTTTGCTAAAAAAATAAATTGACATAACTTAAAAATTCAAATCCCAATATCACTTTTTAAAGATGTAAAAATGTTAGTAACGAAAAGTTTAATCACAGGTTAGGTGTCTCCACTTCTGTAATTCTATTATTCTCTTCTATTTTATTTTTCCAACAGTATTATACCGGTAGGTTTTGTTTTTCCATGACCCAAATTCACACAGCAATTGCTATAATATATTGGTCATCCAAATTTCATAGAATGTATATTATATGTTGCCCTAACCCAATGAATCGACCTAATAGTAAGACACCCTACAATTACATCGTGAAGACACAATCCACTTATTTCATGGAGATGGAGGAAAAATCTCTTATTTGATCTCACCATTAAAAAACACTCCTCAAACTAAAAGAAGTCTCTGAACAAAGAGAAACTAATTGCAAGACATAGATATTAGACGTTGCCCTTAAAATATACTCCTAAAAATCGTTAAACAGACAATTATATTTATATGCCCCCTTTCACCAAATTTAATACAGAAATGTAATTATTAATCATGAAAAGAGAGAACCACCAAAAATTATTTTAAACAAAATACTCAACATTCAACCCAGACAATTATGTGATTTACCAACTGAGACTTGAATGGCACACAGATAATGGACTGTAAAGTAAAAAAAAAAAAAAAAAACTCATCAAACTACCAAGAATGATTAAAAAAACAAATCCACTCAAGTTAACACCAGACATACTTCAACTATCGAATGCTAACCATTCATTACCAATAAAGAAGGTACAATTAAAAATTAGATCGACATAGTAGTGTCAAAGCATTATGCAATGGATATTCAGATAAAATAAACATATGCTTATGAAGTACAATAGAATAGTTCAAGGACTCATTCCAGATTGAAACAATCAAGTGTCCCATTTGGTTGACAACAATAATCGATTTACCACATCATGATACACTCTCCAATTAAAATCTATGACTGAGATTAATTATGCCATGCATCCCAAACACGTTTAACAATTCAAAATCTATTTAATCAAAATTACTTTTCTCAAAAATCTAAAACAAAAAGAAACTAAGATCACTGGCAGAATCACACACACAAGTATATATACACAGAGAGAGGCAGAATATGAAAACAATGAGGTAATGCTATATAAACAATACTTTACCCAGAATAGAAGTCATATTTTTGCAATATTAGATTTACCTCAGAAAATATTTTACCCAGAACAGAAGCATGTATTATTTTAAGCATTCAAAATTAAACACTACTATAACAATTCAAAAGCAAAATCAAATACAAGACTAGGCAGGAAATACTTTTTCATGAAATGAGGAAGAAAAAAAAATTGCAGACCAAGCACGAAATCAAATTACAAAATGAGCCAAAGTATCCATCAAACAGCACAAACACACTGGAGCTAACAAGTACATCACCCAATCAACAATTAATGTTTTCCCTAATGATGCCCTTGCCATCTTGACATGGATCATTTTAATCACTAAAGGACACCTAAAAAACCAGGCAGACAACATATATGAAGACTTATGGATAGAAGATGTCAATGTTCATACATTAACCCTCAGTCTTGTGCATGCCTAGATTTTGTCAACCTTGTCTGCCTTAATTACTGGATTGGCTTTAGCTATGGCACTCTGACCAACAGTCCTATAGTCATAAGTGCAGTCATGTTTATCGGAATAGCGATGTATTGCACAGAAGAGGTTGCCACATTTGCAGCTAAAACCAGTTAATCCAACACGTTTCTGACATGTGGCGCATCTACTAGGACCAGTTTTGGCTTTCATCTCCACACTCTCACCAGAAGAGGAATCTGCAGAAGTCTGGACACAAACAGTCTTGACCTCAACAGTTTCAACTTGTACATCAACCGCACCTGTAGTCACAGCTTGCTTCCCATTGCCACTGGAACTTCCATTCACAATGTTTTCAACTGACGATGCTGCAAGTTTGTCCTGCTCCTGCTTCAACAGCATGTCCTTGTAACACTTGGAACACATGTTCATGGTAGCTGCTCTTCCAAAGAAGCCACAATTATTAATGCAAAGAATAGGACGTTCAGGAGCCTGGCATCCAGTCTCATCGTGAGACTCCATTATTTAGTGACTACCTGCAAGAAAAGCACCTCAAACTCTCAGAAAAGATAGACAAAAAAGAATTTTTTTTCCAAAAAAACATAAATAATTATAAGCATTGCAGTGCACTTGCAAAAATATGATTTAAAACAATGCAGGAAAATTACCCTTGCAAGTTCACACCAGTAGGGCACACATCTCAATCATGTTTAACATATCAAAATCAATATTACCAAAATCTAATACGTTAACACAATCATGAACAATAGTCAAAAAGTAAATATAAAGCCCAAGGTTTTAAAAAACAATTCAAAACATTTTGGTCACAAAAACAAGGCTTTAGGACTCTGTGATCACAAATTCACAATCTGTGTTATCAATTGCAGATAACAGAAAAAGCCAGAAAGCCAATAATCTGCTATATCGTACTATCATATAGCAAATAGCATCTTGGGAAAATAATGGAAGTTTCATAGCAGTTAATTATATGATATATATCAATTATATGTGTATAAAAACATAAGCTGTATGCAAATAAAAATAAAATGCATGAAAATTGACAAAATATTACCTCAAAAATTAAATTAGTTACAAAATCAATAGACATGACTAGACGATATAGGATACATACTGCAAACATGGCACCATAGCCGCTGCTATAGCAGAGCGACATAATAATGATCGCAGATTCAAGGAATTCAACAATGCAATAATGCTATAGTGACACTATAGTGGCTATTTAAAAACATTGATCAGTGACACAACTACGGCTACATCAGTCCAGAATTTCCTGCAACACTAACTATCCAGGCAAAAGCATGACCACAATTCAAAAACTCGGTCAACCCATTTAGACATCATAACACTTAGGTCAATGTGTAAAAAGATTAAAAAGGGAACTGACAGAATTCATTCTATCCCATAAACTAACCTTTACCTTGCAATACATTCCACCACATAAGAAACAAGGGAAAGAAGAACACCAATTCACCAAGAATCATCTATATGGACATTCAACAAACACACAAAGACAATGAATTCAAACCAATGCATCAACACAAAATCAATGTTTACCAATAATTAAAGCATGCAAACAAAGCCCAACAAACCCATCCCCAACAAAAACAAACTTCCACAGAACAGTTGACCACTTCCAATGTCCAACAAAGATCGACCAAACGAACAATCAACAACAGTCTCTTATCCTACAAGGGACGCCAGAAAAATCACAACTTTCAACAACCCCACCAACCGAATCATGCCACTTCAACCCATAACACAACCCACCCAAAACCCCACCAAGAAAAACCCAAAAAAAAAACATTTTTTTATCAAATTTTGAAAACAGGGGAGGAATCAGAAACCAACAAAAAGCCACCGCATCGCCCCACCGATAGCAACCGAGTTAAACCGCGTAGAAATCGAAGGAACTAGAAACACTAAAGAGAGACACCTCACCTGTGCAGTTGGGTATACCGATCCTGAGACTGTGTTTCACTGTTCCCTGTAAGAAGAAAAGGAAGAAGATGAAAAATAAAAAGAATTGCAGAAGATGGGAAAAGACAAGACAGAGTTGTGACCTCAAATCGAAGAGAGAACAGTGTGCGATAATAAGAACAATCGGGAAAATCGAAGGCGAGTACGATGATAAACGCAGCTGCTAAGGAGGCAGAGGAGAGAAAGAGGGGTTTGATTCGGTCGTATCGTGTTGGAAAATGCTCTGTAATTCTCTCTCTCTCTCTCTCTACTTCTCTTTCTCTCTCACCTCTCTCTCCGAACGTTTATATCATCCAACTTACGCTTTTAGCAGAGTCGGTTGTGCTCTCTTTTACCAATATACCCCTCTATCGCCTCATAATTTCAAATTTCCCCTCCAAATTGCACCATCACTTTCAAATTATTTTACATATAAACTAGCAGGGCAGGGGCAGCCTCTGTAGCCTCTATAATTTACTATTCAGAAAAAATCGTTTTCAAAATACATGCTTATCAGCTTATGGAAAAAAATATATATATTGATATTTGAAAATTATAATATTTAGGGATTAGGAGAGTGGGTGAGATTTTCTTTATATCGAGAGTAACTAACTTAAAAAATTCTAAAGTATATGGTTAGATTTAGAGTTAAAAAAATAAAATAAAAAATTATTGTTTTTATATATAAATTAGGAAGAAATGTTGCTTTTCTCACTTTTAAAAATATATATATAAAATAATGAGTTATTAATGGATAAGTATGGATAAGTTGTAGCGTGAAATTTTAAAAAAAGAATAAAAAATAATCATTTATAAAAGAAAAGCTTAAGAGTAAAATTATATATAAAATGAGTAAAAAAGTAAAACTTACAGTTTTATTATTGTTATAGATATAAAAAATAAAATTATCAAGTAGGTAGGTAATATATATATATATATATATATATATATATAT